CAGCTGGGCCAACTGAAACATAATGCAGATGGTCCAACTGAAACATAATAGAAGTTAGAGTATAATATTAGACATAATTGACCCGGTTGTACCTGGGACTTACTTTGCCACTAAAATACAAATTGTAATTTTGCGGATTCTCTCGTAAATAAGAAGTTGTCGGAGATTTAAGCAAATTTGAGTATATTGGGGAGAGAAGAGATACTACAAATTGACGGAATAAATAAAACATTTCTTTATAAAATGTGGGGTGGCCCTGGATTCTGTTCTACTGTGAACACGAGAAATAGATACATTGTGGGGTCCCTGCCATCTATATATTGTACATACTTGTATCTAGATGTCTTGTTGTCCTCTGGCCTTCATAGTTGAACAAAATGAGATTTGGTTATTTTGAAGTTGAACATTGACATCCAAACTATTAATCTAGTTGTTCACATCAATGTCCACATAAGATGAGTTATTAAGCAGTTTTTATAGGATTTATTTTTACTATGAAATTGTTTCACTTCTTTTGGTATCAATATAGGTAATCATGCCCTAATATTTCCTTGTTACACAAAGAGTGATTTGTGTAAAAACAAGCTAATGATCAAATGAAACTTATGCCTATTTATATATAGGGAAACTTACTAGTTTGACCCAAATAATGGCTTTAATTACTAGAATGTCTCATAAAATATAGGGGTTAGACTGGTTATTTTCATGACGATAATACCCTTGCTCTCTTTGTTAGGAAAAAAAAAGAGTCAAATTTACCCCTAAAATTTTTCGAAAAACGTCTGAAAAAAATTCAGGAAATTTTTTTGGTTTTTGAAAAGTCTGCTGGGTTCGTTATGACAGATTTATTTTAAATGGCAGACTTATTTATCAACGACAGATTTTTTGTGACAGATTTCTTATCTCTCACAGACTTAATTTAACAGGTAGTGGCAGACTTAAGTTAACACCACAGACTTTCATCACTTTGACAGATTTATTAAAATTAGTGGCAGATTTATGTTCCTAGTGGCCTCAGACTTTAAATTTTCATAAAAATATCTGTCATCAAGTGACAGATTTGTTTTTGAAAAAATAATTACCTCTAATTACTAGAATGACTTAGTAGTGATAACAGATTTTTTTTATGTTATGACAGTTTTTTTTTTTAAACAAAAAAAACTGTCAAGTGATAGCAGATTTGTCATTAAAAAAAAAAATTGCTAGATTGACTTACAATCGCAAATGAAATATTTCTGTGATGACAGATTTTATTTACATTACGACAGATTTAGGATTAGTTCAAAGAAAACTGTCACATTACGACAGATTTAGTGATGAAAAAGAAATTGCTGGAATGACTTCGTATAGTGATGACAGATATGTTTTATGCAATGTCAAATTTTAATTTTTATTCATGTTATGACAGATTTTTTATACATATTTGATGACAGACTTTTCATGATGGACTACATGACAGACTTTTTAAACACGACAGACTTTTTTGTTTTGAATTTCCATAACTGAAAAATAATAAATGACGAGATAATCTAACTTACCATATTTTTCTAGGGTTTTGGGCTATCCTAACCGTTTCTCTATCATCTATCTCGTTTCTCTATCTCCACGACAGCCACGTTTTTTGACAGCCACGTTTTTTGAAATTCACCATGATGTCTCAAAAGAAAGGTTTGGAGATGGATCAGGTGATTCTCGTATGTGGCAAATGGATTTTCGAGAATAACAAATGGTCGTTCACCATTGATACAAATAGAGGATGTCGAGTTCTGGAAGCTAATAGGGAAACCAGTTACTCTCAATGCATTCGAATGGTAATGGAGGATTACGGAATCGAGAATAGAGGCTGTGATGTTGTGTTGAGTTACAAGATTTCGAAGATGTTGTCTCAGAATCTACCGGATGATACACCACCCGTTATTATTACTAATTCAAGACAGTTTCACTCTTTTTTAGGGCATTTGAAGAGCGATACAATTCGACTTTGTGTTGAAGTGAAGAAGAAAGTTACAATTGAAGCTAATCAACCCAACACCGATGGCATCGTTGATAGTACCTTGCAGAGAAAACGAACAAGAATTGCAAACGAGTTGGTTAAGGAAGTTACGGATTTGATTAATGAAGCTGTTGGTGATGACGGCGATGACGATGAAGAAACGAGATTTGATTACTGTGACGACTCTGACGGAACCGATTCTGATGATGAGAATTATAGCTTGTATGGGATTCCACCAGTTGTAGAAGAAAAACAAATACTGCCGTTGAAGAAAAAGAGTTCAGGTATCTATATTGAAGAACAAAAAGATGATGATTATTATGCAAAGTTTCAATTACCTTCTGTGGATTTGGCTGTTGGACAGTGTTACGAATCAAAAGAACACTTGGAAACACGACTGAAGATACTAACCGTAGTACATAGATTCGATTTCTACGTAGACAAATCGACACCTTTTCTTTTGATTGTCAAGTGCTGGATAAAAGGGTGTACGTGGAGGGTACGAGCTACGACACAAAGAGACTACCCAAAGTTTCATATTCGTGTTTTTATTTCTGAACACTCATGTTCAGTAACAGAGCGTTCTGCACGTGCCCGTCAAGCAACTCATGATATTCTAGGAGTATTATACAAGGATTTTGTTGGTGGAATTGGCCCCAAAGTATTGCCAATGCATGTTCCTGAATCATTGAATAAACGTTTTCAGATCAAGGTACAATACAAATTTTAATAATTTTTGGCGTTTTAAAACAAAAAGTTTTTTATGTTTAACAGAAACAGTAATTTTTTCTTAATAGATGGATTATTGGAAGGCTTATAGGACGCTCAGGTATGCGCGAGAATTGGTAAGAGGAAGTCCAGAGAGTGGTTCTGAGCAAACTACCTACTTACTTATACATGTTAAGAAGAGCTAATCCGGGGACATTGACGAGACTTGAAGTTGATGAAGAAAAAAGATTTAAGTACATGTTTCTACCCTTTGGTGCAAGCATGCTTGGATTTCCATTCATGAGGAAAGTGGTGGTTGTTGATGGTACTTTTCTACAGGGAAAATACAAAGGGACACTTCTTACAGCAACAACTCAAGATGGTAATTTTCAGATTTTTCCGATTGCTTTTGCTGTGGTTGATACAGAAAATGATGAATCTTGGGAATGGTTTTTCAAGCAACTGAGCTGTGTCATACCAGATGATGAGGGCCTATCCATTATTTCAGATAGGCACAAATCAATTGCGAAAGCAATCAAGGTGGTTTATCCGAAGGCGAGTAGAGGAATTTGTACATACCATCTGTACAAAAATATATTGGTCCGTTTTAAAGGTAAAGAAACATTTGGATTGGTTAAGAAGGCTGCGAATGCATTCAGACATGTAGATTTTCAAACCATATTCCATCAGATAGAAGTGGGGAATCCTGAACTACATGCATATCTAGATAGGGCTGATGTACGACTTTGGACACGTGTACATTTCCCCGGTGATAGGTATAACTTGCTTACAAGCAATATTGCGGAATCAATGAACAATGTGATGTCACACGCCAGGAGTTTTCCTATTACACAGTTGTTAGAAGAAATAAGGTCCATGATGACTAAATGGTTTTCAGATCGGCGGAGTGATGCGTTAAAAATGACTACATCTTTGACACGTGGTGTCGAGAAAATTCTGCAGGTATATTCTCATACTTTCAATCAATGTCAGTTAAACAAGTATATATGTTTCACTATTAACAATGTTATTCATTTTACAGAGCCGCGTTGACTATGCGAAGTTACTTGCTGTGCAAGATATAGATGCACAACAAGTACAAGTGACAAGTGCAACATCTCTCCACGTTGTAAATTTGGTCGATAAAAAGTGTACATGTTGCAGGTTTGATGTGGAGAAATTGCCATGTGCACACGCAATTGCGGCGGCTGAGAACAGGAAAGTCTCTCGAATTTCAATGTACCATTCGTATTATCACAAGAACTATCTTTACAATTCCTATGCTAACGCCATCATGCCAAGGGAGTTTGCTATACCTGTTCCTGAACATGTAGCAACAACGGTTTGTTTACCACCCATACCCAAACAACAACCGGGAAGGCCAAAGAATTCGAGAATTAAGTCAGCATTGGAGATTACTATGGAAAAGAAAAAGCCAAAAAAATTATACACTTCTGGCAATTGCAATCAAGTTGGTCATAATCGTAAGACTTGTAATCTTCATGTTTAATTTCTTTTTTCGTCATTGACTAGTTATTGTGGTGTAAGTCTACAGTTGAATTCTTTATCTTTTTCATATAATACTTTGGTTAAATTTTGATAGATTATGTTTGTCATGAAACGTTTGAAAGATTATGAATCTTCCATAATTGACACTTAAATGAGTATTTATAGTGGTGGAGTTCGCACTAGGTGAGGTGAAAAGGAAGTGTCCTGAAATATATACACAAACCACAAAATTTTTTGGTTCCGTACGTATGAGAATACTATCATGAACGGAATATAAATCAATAAAGAAGCACTAAAAGTCTGAAAATAAGCATGAAAAAGTCTGAAACAAGGTGACACTATTTTAGTTCCTAGAAATAAAGAACAAAAGACCTATAAGTACGAGATTACATAAATCAAAGTCACTCATTCGATGGACTCATCCATGAGACTAGGGATCTTGAAACCTACACCACAAAGATCAAGATTAGATGGTTTGGCTGCCTCTCTCACTTCATCAAATAGCTCTGCTGCAAGTTTAACACGTATGGCATCTATGTTTTCATCGCAAAGCCCATCGAATGATTTCCCAAGAGCCAAACACTCGATGTATTTGAGTGTGTAGATAGCACAATCGCCGGGATCTTTATTCAAAGGTACCTTCTTTGTAATCCTTTTCACGTCCAACATTGCATTACTCTTCTTACGTATGTTGATAGGTACGAAAGCACTCATCATGGCAGGGATCATCAACCGCAAAAACATGCATTGTTTCATCATTACAAGATCAGTGGTCAAGTTACTGCTTTGATACATAAAGACACAACATTTAAAAGATCAAAAACTAACCTGCCCATGCAGCTTCTTCTCGTTTTTAATGAATTCTGTTAGGTCGATATCCTTCCGAGTTGACTGCCAATCAAGAAGTGGAATACCAGTCAAGATAGGCCTTCTCAACCCATAACCCTCTCCTAATCCAGGGAAACTCTCATACACCCACATAAGCAAAGCGTGAACGCATCCTTTAATAACATAACCATCTTTGTTAAAGTCAACTATCTTAACCGATTTAAGTAGACATTCAAAAGCCACTCGTCCCCACGGATATTTCTCAAAACTCATTGGATCAAGAACTCTTATAGCACTAGACAAAGGAAATCTAGATCCGTGGTGCACTCCATGTATTGCCACTGATAATAAACACAACCTACCCACCATCATCCTCTCATTTAAGTCCCATGCCTTGCTAAGATCCATCACAGTTCGCAACTCATTGAACTTTGGACCTTCTGAGATTGGTACTTTCATTGCCTCCCATAGCTCACGGTGATCAGCTTCAAACTTTTTCGACGGGTCAAATGGATCGCAATTCAGTCCTGTTATAGCAGCAAACTCATTTAAGGAGAACCGGACTGGTCTACCATCAATCATAGACCATATCTCATGAAAGTTATCCACTTTCAACTGATTTGTGAGGAATAGATGTACTTTCTTGGCAGCCCATGTGTACTCTAGTTCAGCTAGCTTGATAAACACACCTAGTGATGATTTCTCCAATCCATCCCACACATCAATACCTAATCCTTCTCTGATTTGACCAATCTTGGACAGATAACAATTGTGGTTCATGCTTCTATGTTGCAAAGGTGATTTTCCTTCTGCATATAGACGAGGAGGATATTTGAAGACATTACTCGAAGACGCCATTCCTGAAGATTATCAAAATAATAAATCAGCATATAAGAGGATTAATACAATCAGCTAATAAACAATTTAAAACAAATCTGATGCAAAACAAATTACCAACTCAGCCCTTATTCATTCAATTCCTATAGAAAAAAGATATCAAAACTTAAGGAAACCGCTTGATTATAATATATAATGCCAGAAACAATAGAAACATATCATTACCAATGATTCAAGAAACTTTACACCGATGAACTGCACATCTAAGCCACGAGAACAAAGATTAGCTTGATTGATCCATTATATTTTTCAAAATAATTAACATTTCTATGAAGCTGTGACTCGTAAACCCCCATTTCTTTTTATTAAGGCATGGAGCATATCAATACATATCTAGCTGAAATAATAGAGGCACATATTGTAAGGATCTGTTACTACTCAAATGATGACTAGTTAACCCACTCAATCACTCTAAATCCTTTCTTGTCCATATATTTAAGATACAGTTAAAATGCCCCTTAGTACATTTGCCATCATCTTCACGGATTCATGCACATTTATATTTATATAAACTATTATGTTTACAATGGCCAGTATCAGATAACAACATATATGTAATGTACCTAATGCTAGTCAAGCGATTTAAACCCTAAAAATCTTAAAGCAGCATATAAAAGAAGAATAGAATCAGGTAATCTGTTAGTAACTAATGAATTAATCCAGATTTTCTAAGACAACCTATTCTCTAAATTGGGACAAAAAAAGATGGACACTAATGAATTAATCGAAAAAAATATGTCATTTATGATCCACAAATCTATCACTTACTCTCTAAAAATGTGAAAAAATATGTCATTTAAGAATATAAATTCAGGACCTTATGAATTTTAATCAAATCAGTTATTCAAGTTAATCTTCATATCAAGAGAGTATCTAATCACATAACAGAAATACTAAAACTAAGAGGAAACAAGTATACAATCGTCAAAAACTGAGATATAAGTTTCAATACTCATATGTGACTTAATTTATGCAATGCAGCAAAAGAACAATGAGAAATCAACAAAAGTAGCTATTCAATCTGTAAAAATGGTTAATCACTTAGATAAACTTCACATTACCAGAAGGTATGAGTGTTCACTAAAACTGAATCAATTTAAATGGATCAATTTAAATATCATCAAAACCAAAACACTTAAGAAACTACTTACTTTATCCAAAAATCTGACACTTACTCTCTAAAATAGGACAAAACTATGGCAACTACAATCAATTTTCATATGAATAAAATCGTATTGGCAAGAATTTTTTTTCTAAAACAAATCCGAAGAATTTGGCCACATACCTTACGAAAATTATGATGAACGAACTCACAATGGCTACTGGAGAGTAAGATCTGCAACAATAAATGAGTAACCAATCAAAACAACAAATCATAGTCCAAATTTGACCCCTAAAAGTCCAGATTAAACTCACCGATGTACAAGTGAGGAGAAAGACGTCGCCGATGGATGAAGAACAGCAACAGTGATGCTAATAGACCCACGGGAAAAGGAAGGAATAGAGGACAATGGGAACAGACTTTGGAAATAGACCCACGGATACTAAAGCGGCGGTGGCAAACAGAATTGAGGAATTTGGTGAGTCGCTGGAGAAGAAGTGGTGACTACTCAACCGAAGAAACCGTAAAATAGAAGAACCATCGGAGAATCGGAAAAGTCCACCGCAACCACAACAATTGGCGGCGGCTTCTGTGGCTATTCACTTCGAATCAGCGGTGGTAGTCAATTGGCGGCGGATTAGTGTCTTCGTCGGAGTTGGCGATTTCAATTGGCAGCGGATTCGTGTATTTGTCGGAGTCGGCGAACACATGCAGGTTTCTGAGAGTGGTTTTGTCTGCTGAAACAGAGAAAAAAAAAGATGAAGTCGACGATTAATAAAAAAATTAGGGTTAAAGTGTTTTTCTGTTTTTTTTTTTTGTTTTTTGTTTGAATTTTTTTTTAAGACTAATAGAATTAAAATGGGTTTTTGGTAATTCTACACAAAATTTGTGTTATTCTAGTAAACTCCAAAACTAGAGTGTTAATCTAGTTATTAATCTCCAGATTTGTGTCAATCTGGGTAATTTTCAGTTATATATATGCATTAGATTATATATTATACATTAAATATACAACTGAATATACTTTTAAGATTTTCTAAATCTTTAACTTGAGATAAATATTTCAAATCTATTGTGATAATTGCTTTTCCAAGTTCAATGCTAATGTCAGTCAATAATAATTATCTATAAGTAATAATCACTTATAGATAATAATTAAATTTTCACGTCTTTTAAGACTCAAATGTTTCAATGGGGAGATATAACTTCAACAACGATTCCTTCGTCCCTGTTCACTATCTTCGTCCCTGTTCACTATCTTCCCTACATATATTTCAAAATTTCTCTTTGCTTCTCCACGGAAACCCTAAATCATCAAACATTTTATGTAAAATCTAAAAGTTTCTTTAACCATGGAACCTCATCACTACCTATCTGATTTGAATGTTCACTCAACCGCTGGTGAATGGTAGGGTTGAGACCAGAATGATCTTGGCCGACGAAAAGGTATAAAGTAACTTTTAGATGATTGTCTACTTTCACTTTTATACAGATAGTTTATTTTGGGATTGAATTACTTATGCATGGAAATTTATAATGATTTTAGGCAAATAGGATCAACGCAACTATTCCAAATCGCTATTACAACTGGAATTTCCAGGCTTATCTGAAACCAGGCCTATGGTTTCGCCTGTCTGACTTTGAGGTTCTGCGTCCTCAAGAGAAGAAAACCAGATATTGTTGCTTCCCAGTTGTAATCAAGTGTATCGCTGACACTACTATGTGGCCTATTAGTGTTGTGTGCCCTTATAGTTTCTATGATTTTGTTTATCCAGAGACTGTTGAGTTTGCCCAGGAAGATGAGAAAGAGTTTGTGACTGGTAAGGGATTTTCTTCTCTTATATTCACTGTTAGCTGATCTTAATCTTACTATAAACTATGATTTTGTGTTTATATCTGTTACTTAGACGCTATTGGTGTTGTCAAGGCTGTGACAACTATAAGAAAGTTCCCTTATGTCTGTCGTCTGGGAGGGACAGATTATGAGTCTAGATATGTGGCGTTCAAGTTAGTGGACATTGAGTAAGTTTCACTTCTATGAAGTTTGTATCATGTGTTGTTAATTATCCTGTCATCTTCAATTGTTTTTTAACATAAAAGTATTGTTCGAACACCGTATAGGGGTTAGGATATCAAGTGTTGTGCTGTTGGTAAGTGCTGTGAGTTGTTTGTGACCAAATATGCTCAACAGATCAGTTCGGTTACTTACAATTATGAGCCTATAGTTGCTGTTCTCCGGGGCTGGCGAATCTCAGATGTTTTTGGTAAGTTTTCCATCAGGACATGAGGCATTGTAGGTTTATCATTTAAAGGTAGCAAATTGCATTTCTATATATGTCTACTTGATCCTTGAACTAACTAAACTAAGTACCGATAATTTTCTTTGTACTTAACTAGACAGCATTTACAATATATCTTCAGGTACAAATGTTTTAATGAGTGAAAATGGTTGTTCCCGTATCTACCTAAATCCAAGGTTGCCTGATGTAGATATCCCAAGATACATGTAGGTTTATATTACACATATGAACATTAGACAGAAACAAGCTATGGCTTATCTTAAACTTACATTTTGTTTATTTGTCTACAGTCTTGATTTCACTGAGAAGCAACGACATGATGCTGAGGATGTGATGATGGAGGTGGTTGAAGAGAACTAGTAGAAGAAGAAGGTGTTTGGTGGAGGACCTAATCCAACCTTGATGTTTTTCTATTTCATGTTTAGGATCGAACTCTGTTTTTTTAACTTGAAACAATTGTTACTATATTATGATAATATCGGTTGGCTGATAATTAAAATTGTTACAATTGTCATTAAACCGGTTTACATATAAACTCAAGACCTACACTCTTCCCCATAGCCATACAATTGAGCAAAGAATAACAGAAGCAACACCTACTGTCTTCATAATCTTCTTACTCATCGCATCCTCCATCTTCTTAAAGTTTATGTTGTGGAGCTTCATAGTACCCATCACTTCCATCCTCAAAGCATTGACATCCTGTGCAACTAACTTACACTTCTCCTCCACCATCCTAATTTCTTGTAAGAGAGCTTCATCAACCCATTTGAACAAGTGATCCTCATTTTCCCTCTATACACATGGCAGGGATCAATACTCCATCTACTTTTTCAATTCAATTCAACAATTTGACTAAATAGAAAAACGTACCTTCATTGCAATCACGCATCGATAGAACCTACGGTAAGGATTCTCCTTCGTTTTCGATGTGAAAGTTGTGATATTCTCTCCACACCAGCATTTCGACGGGACACCATGAGGAGAAAAACATATCGCCGAACTGGAAGCGGATGAGTAGTAGTTTGTTGTGCTCATCGTCTCTGAAATTTCTGAAATTTGGTTCGTTTGGGGAAGAGTTGTGGAATATGAACCCTAAACCCCAATCGAATTTATTTTATATACAAGAATGACGTCGTTTTTTTGTTTGTTTTGCGAAATAAAGAGAAGAGTCAAAACGCCGTCGTTTTAACTCTCGGGTCATGTGTTATCTTACAGTTACTCTTACTCCTAATTTGGTTTGAGTTTTCAACTAGTTATAATATAACTGATATCTTCCACCCTAATAATATAAGCAAATTTGCGTATATTGGGAAGAGACTAGATACAACGATTCTACGAATTGACGGAATTGTTGAAACATTTCTTTATTCATGTGGGTGGGCCCGAATTCAGTTCTGGTCGGGTCAAACTAGTGTGAACACGACAATTTATATTTTGTGGGGTCACTGAGAACTATATATTGTACATAGTTGTATCTAGATGTCTTGTTGTCCTCATTCCTTCATAGTTGAACAAAATGATATTTGGTTATTTTGAAGTTGAACCTTGAAATCCAAACTATTAATCTAGTTGGTCACATTAAATTCCACATTATATCCGTTTTTAATCAGTTTTCATAGGAAAATATTCACTATATCATTGTTTCACTTCTTTTTGCATCGATATAGGTAATCATGAACTAGTATCTCCTTGTTACACAAAGAGTGATTTGTGTAAAAACAAGTTAATGATCATATGAAAATAATAAATATTTATATATTTATATTACATTATATATTAAATAGTAGATGTTCTATGTTTATAGATTAAAATTGTTTTTTTTTTTTCCAACAAAAGACTTTTATTATTTTCAAAGAGTAATTACAAGGATATTATGCAGAATTACTGTAACACAAATTATTACATACGAAGTTTATGCGCCATATACTGAGAAAAGTACAGCAGAAGGGAGTTTGACGATTAAAATTGTTATTAACGTTAAAAGATTATAAATTCTATTTTATCTTTTAAAGATTTTAATTACATATAAAATTAAGAATTTAAACTCCTCTAATTTGTACTATGTGAACCAGGAAAATAAATCATACAAATAAACATGGTAAACTAAGTACTTGGCCCAATCGAACCAAAGATTTATACGGTTGGGAAATTTCAAACAAATTTTACAAAGTAGGCTTAGTTGTCCCGGTTGAACAAGGTACACCACCTCACAGTTGTCCTTGTTGAACCACGAAATCCCGGACGTCTTATTGGGCTTTTAATAATGTATTAGTCTATTAATTAATTGCACGCCACAATAAGACCCGGCCCGTTAAGGCATAAACCATTCATAATAAGGTGAGTGTAACTGAAGAGACAACCCAAACGGCAATTATTTAGTTTGTAATAAATCGGTGGTTACGGTTCTTCGCCGGAAACACCATTCATAATAAGGTGGTTACTGTTCTTCGCCGGAAACACAATGGATCAAAGTACTATTTATCATTCTTCCTCCGCACCGAACTCTCCTGCTTCTGAACCTAGTACTCCCATGCCGCCTAATTCTCCCAAATTTGACGTGCAGCGGTTTCATCGGTGGACTGGGCGTTCGCAGCCAGAAGCGGGATTCCCTCTGTCCGAACAAACGTCTCCAAGTGTGCAGCCTATATACCCCTAGGATAGAGTCCCAATCAACGGGAACGGACTGGAGTTTCAGCCGGCAGGAAGAGATTTTGTCCCTGGGAAAATTACTTATCCAGAGACTTTCTTCGCTTGTTGCCCACGAAGTGTCTTCAATAAAAACCAACATTGGGTCGCTAGGGTAAGTGTCTCGATCTTGAAAGTTATGGTTTTTGTAACATTGGTTAATTGCGGTTTAGTTGTTTGAGTTGTACCCAAAAAGTTTAGATTTTTATGACAATGGTTAATTGAATTTTAGTGATCTGATATGTAACTAAAAAATTATTGTTTTTTTAACAAGTGTTAATTGAATTTTAGTTATTTGAGATGTAAATCCAAAGTTAGGGTTTTTATAACATTGGGATATGCGTGTTAATTGAATTTTAGTTATCTGAGATGTAAATCCAAAGTTAGTGTGGATGTCGGATTCACACACTCAAGTATTTTTATTAAGTAGGAAAGATTATTCTTGAGGGACAAAAAATAAGAATGCAAAAGGCTTGTGAATTGTTACAAAAATTGCTATAGTATTTCTTGCTCGAGAGAGAGATCCCCTTTACATGGCCATTGGCCTCTATACTTATACATAGAAAAATGACATTTAAATGGCTAATTAAGTACAATTATTCTCTCTTAAATGTGTCCGTTTTGATTATTTGACTTTAATGCTCAACGTTTGAATTTGAGTTGACTCTGGTCTTTATGGGCCTCGCCTTTTGGCCCAAGTGTCCTTGGACCGACTTAACCATGACTTCGTCTCCGGACTCGTATCGAGGTGCAATCACTTCGAATTCTCCTTATGGTGGTAACCACTTCGATTGTTCTTTTGACTTGTGGGTCTAGTGGGCTTTATCCTTAATGGGCCATTACCCCGACTACGTGGCAATCTTTGGTTGGTCCTGGACCTCTGGTGCGGGATCCGACACCAACAATTAGCCCCCCAAGTTCTTCGAAGTGCCATTCCAATTCGAAGGACTTTAAATGCTTAAATGACCAAAGATTGCGCTCGAGAATCTTTCTGATTTCCCGCCGAAAATCTCATCACTCCTTTAATTCCGGCACTAGCCATTTTTAACCGAGTGACATCTGTCATCATTATGACCGCATAGTAATTAATTACTATTAAAACAGGAAAAAACCTTCCCACTTCCCACACAACTTCCAAGGCGGTTTCATCATTTAGCTTGTGTAAGGTAACTTCTTTTCACCATCATTTTCTTCTTTTACTTTTGTGCTTTAATCAAAACTTCTCTCTACTTTTCTTCGCCGAACCTCTCTTCGCCGGATCTTGAATTTTTCATTTTTCTCCGATGACTTCCGATTCTAAGAGACCTGAATCTCCGTCTTACGATGAGAGGCGCTCTAGCAATGACGAATGCACTCGTCCTAACGATATTGCCGGTCCTCATTACAAATCCACCTGTACTCTTCAATCCCTTGAGCGATTAAAGGGGCTTTGTCAAATTCCTCCTGGAATCATAGCGGAGGCACAGATAGCCGATCCCACGGAATCCCCGGAGAACCACCGCGACGGCTACTTTTGTGTTTACGAAATCTACTTCAAGGGCTGCGGATTGACCTTCCCCCTTCCCGAAGCCCTAGTTCGATTCTTGGCGGCTCTTGAGATTGCTTTACCTCAACTAACCCCCAATCTCCTCCAAACCATCCTCGGGATTATAACCGTTGCGGCGGAAGCTGGCTACGTCATTGGAGTCCCCGAGCTGAATGAACTCATAAGTGTAAGGAGTTCATCAAAGAAAACAGGGTACTTCTCGGCATATCCAAATGCCAACAGGAACGTTATTTCGCACCTCCCGAACAAAGATGAAAACTGGCACCATCCTTGGTTCCTGATTAAGAAAACTCCTGCTTCAATTGGAAATCTTTCCGATGTACTCCCATCGAAGTGGTCTGCGAAGCCTGGTAGAAATTAGGTCGTATATTCCTTCCTTGGTTGTTTTATTTTTTACTGACCAAACTCGTTGTTTTCACTTCGCAGCTGTCATTGCTTCGACTCTTCCGACTGAAGAATTCGTCAAGTTCTTCAAAACAATCCTTGAAGGGGAAACCCTTTGGAACTCTTTCACCCTCGATCGGTTTGTCGAGGCCAACCGAAAACTCAGGATGAGTCCTCCCAATCTACTTCATCGTCTTCCGCCTCCTCCCTCAACTCAGGGAATGTCAGCTCGGGCCCTTACTGCCCAGCGTAAGAAACTCTCCAAGCCGATAGCAGAGGCTTGTGATGAAAACAAGGCGTTCCTTGCGGCCGCCATTGACAAAAAAGACTACAGCAGGACCCTGCTGGTTGATGATAACAGCGCCGAGGAGCCAGATACGTTGCTGCTTATAGGTTAACACCTCGTCGCGAACGTCGTGACGAACGTTCTCCTCGGAGAGAGCAATCTCCTCGTCGTGATTCTCCTCGTCCTACCCGAGACGATTTTAGCAATGAACCACTTAAGAACTTAGTTCGCAGGAAGAGGGACAAGTCATCCCGTAGTGACTCTTCTCCGCGAAGGGAGAAATCAAGGGCCCGGACTGACCGTTCACCTCGATCATCCCCTCCCACTGAACCAATGGGTCCTCCCCGACCTGTTGATATGTCTTCTTCTTCCCAGCCCGACAGCGAAAAGACTGCTCGGAGTGCATCTCCTAAAAAGGGAGATTCTGAATATCGAGATGCTTCCTCGAGGTTAAAGCCTGCTCTTGTCCCTCAAGACAAATCGCTTTCAGGTTTGGTGATTTACACATACTTAAACGTTTTTGTTTCTATTAAGATTCCAATTTTTACAACTCCTCCTCCTTCGCAGCTATGGAGAAAGAGGGCAGCGTCTTCCGATGCTTCAAGACCCGATCGGGTTCGATTTTGCCAAACTTCGACAAGTGGCGCCCTGCGATTCGTCAACGCTATCTGCTTCATGCTCATCATTCATCTCGGGTTAGTTCCGCTTTATTTTTCCGATTGTGCTGCCGTTCATCGAAATGTCTCACCATCTCGATTTCATGCATAATGGCAGGCTAACGGTGAGCTTAATGACATGATTGAACATTATGAGGGGCTGGTCCTTGGTCGGGAAAAGGAGATTGACGCGTGGAAGAAAAAACTTTCTGCTCTTGAGGCTGAACTAAGCTCTTCTCCCGGCTCCAAGCACGATCTGGAGGACAAGGTCGATAGTCTGACATCCAAGCTGGCGAAGATTAAGGGGGAGCTGCAGGACCAGTATGACCAAAATTTCAAACTCCAGGATGAGCTTTCTGGTGTTCAGGGTAGGCTTCACGAATCCGAATCAACCGCCGATACCCTGAATAACCAACTTATTGAGCTTAACGCGAAGTACAAGGCGATTGCCAAATTGCGTGATTCCGAGTTGGCAAGGTTGGCATCAAAAGCCAGAAAGGAATTTAAGGGACGCGGGATGGATTTGATCCAAGGGGCCGTCCGCTTCATGCAGACCGAGAAAGCTAGGTCAGATTTGGAATCAGACATCAAGGAGCATGAGAGCAACCTGATTCTGTTGGATCAAATCCATGAAACAGATTTCTCCGAGGAGCAAGAAAGGACCGAACTGTCGGCTAATCTTTCTGAAAAGCGGAGTCGCTTGGCAGCTCTTCCCACTTCGACCTTCAACCCGCAGGACTTCGAGGAATTCTTTACTGAATCGCCTCCTATAAGTGAATCGGGTCTAGACTGGGCAGGTAACACTTGGCTCCTGATTCTTACTACCTTATGTTTTTTTTTTTTTTTTTAAAAAGAAAATTGACTGGAACTGCCCTTCCCAGGCTCAAGTGAGACGGAAGATGTCGTCCCACCTGAAGTCCCTGTGGCAGCGGAGGTCACCCCGGAGGATGGTGGTACTGTGGAGGGCGGACCAGGAGCCCCATCTGACCAAGCGCCAGTCAAAGAGGCGGATGAAACTTCGACTGCCGAGCCGGAGTCCGAGGTGGCTGTTACTTCGTAGTGGCTGCGTCCACTTTAAATTGGGAATTATTCCATTTATTTTTAAAACTTAATTTCGAACTTGTTTTTGCCTAAGGAGGCTTTATTATTTCTTTTGAACAAGATACTTGCATGAGGAGGCTTTTAAACCTTTCTAGGTTTTGACCCCAAGGGGGTTTGGTTAAAATTATATGCGGGTTTGCAAAGTCCGCTTTTAGCCCTTTGTGGCCTTGTGGTTATGCTTTCGAAACTTTTAGGCTGATCAGACCTTTCTCTTTAGAATGCGAGAACTGAGCTCGGCTTAAAGCGAGTTCCCCACTTCGGGTTTAGTCAACTCGATAAATTTATTGGGCTTGGGCCTTAGAAACTTTTGTAGTTAATGCGACGGTTGCTCTTTCCCTTCTTATTTCTTAAAAGTAGGAAAACGGCTCGTCTTTAATGCAATAACTGCCTTTTCTCGATTTTCCAAAAATGGTTTAAACCACTCGGGCACACTATCATTATTGGATTTATGGTTCCAAGACAAACCCTAAACCATTATAAATAATGGTTTTTAGAATCTTACTTGAGAAATATTACGAGAATGGAAAACGAAAAAGTAGCCCCCATTGATCCCGGCAGCCCACTCTTCTTGTCCGGCGACGGCTTTGAACCGGCCGGCATTCTTTTCCCTCACGCCGTCTTTCACTTTCCTTCAAAGGAGAAGAAAGAGGTTTGCGACTTTATTGACAAGGTTAATATATGTCGTCTTTGATTAAAAGCTTTTTGTTTCATCTTATTCATTCATCTTTATGCTAGGTTGCCGACAAACACCGTCGCTTGTGTGAAGAGAGGCAGCGGCTAGGCCTCAAAAGGCAAACACTCGAGGCTCGCATTGCTCGGGTGGAGAGGAAGATACGGGCTTTGGAAAGTGACCCCTTTCAATGGGAATGGCTGAACTTCGATTCTGTTGCTGAGATCCCGAAGATGCTTCGGATGTATCTCCGTGCTAGAGGAGTTCCGGGTCCTGTGAATGCTCCGGTCCATACCATTCCATCTGGTAGCGAGGAAGAAGACGAAGAGGAGGCCAGCACCAGTCGGAAACGCGTTCGGGATTGTTCCGAGGTGGACGCCAAGAACAAGGCGTTCACTTCGAAAACTAAAACGGCGATGAAGGAGCCTGTTCCTGAGCCTCTTCCATAAATGTTCTCTAACCTTTCCACTCACTTTGAACTCATAATGGGCTTCGGCCCTTTTTTATTTATGGAAACATTTGCAACTTTCCTTTCTCTTCAAATATTCTCGGAGATGCGTCTTTTAATGCAGGATTGGTTTAAGGGCATAAATCTCGCCGCGAATCACTCCATTTCCGGGCTGAATCTGCTGCTTGCTAGGGATATGAAGTCCCTATAAATTACAGCTTCAACTTCCCTTTACTTCTCACTATTCTTCTTATTTCTACAGATATGGATTTTAACCTTCGATGTTCGGAGTCTATGCCGGACTTCTCTAGGATCGGAATGATGGACGAAGATGTTCCAGATGTTCCAAGTAGACGATCTTCTCCACTTCGCGGCTTTTTCATATCTCAGATCCGAGCTCCATGCGCTTTGATCAAGAACCTTCCAGATAGAGACCGGGAGATTGCGATGGCCTTTATCAAAGCGCTCGCAATTCAACACAGGAAGCTATCGCTGGAAAAGAAAAAACTTCGGAAGAAGATTTATCGAATGCAGCGCAGAGTCACTGCGATATCAAGGGATCTTCACATCCTTAGTTCTCACCCCGGAGAGTGGATTGAGCTCGGAATCTCCGAATTTGCTCGTATCCCGGATTGTATGATGCCAGTTCTTGATCTTGCTGGTCAAGGAGTTCAAGTGTTCTGCTCTCCGGGAGGGTTTTCCTAACTCGAAGTGTGCGAAGATCGATACTTTTTCTTGTTCGTTTGAATAAATGTTTTGCTTCCAATCTCTTGTATGTTCGCATAGCCGAACCTTTACTTGCTTCAATTGTTCGCTCGGTCGAACCCTTTCCTTTAATACAGAAATAAAACAAATTTTTATTAATAGCTGAACTCGTTTCCGAGCTGCCTACGTACCCATTTCGGGATCAAGCCACACCGTAGTTCATGTACATAAAAAATGCATGTAGCTTTAAACATAAAACTTCTTTAGGTTGATCACATTCCAAGGTCGCTTGACTGGCCTGTCTTCTAAGTCTTTCAATCTATAAACACCGTTCCGAACCACTTCGGTAATAATGTAAGGTCCTTCCCAATTAATACCGAGTTTACCGGCACCTTCTTCTTTTTTGTTATCAAAGACACGCCTTAACACATAATCTCCCACGAAGAACGGCCTACTTTTAACTTTAGAATTGTAATATCGGGCTGCTGCCTGCTGGTAATTCTGAATCCGAATCAAAGCTTGATCACGCCTTTCATTTATGGTATCTAGTGAATCATTAAGCATTGCTGAATTTTCTTCCTCATTTAATGGTGCTTCTGTTCGGCGAAGTCCGGGCACGTTGAGTTCAGCTGGTACTACTGCCTCCATGCCATAAACCAAAGAGAATGGAGTTTCTCGGTAGGTCGCCACCTTTAAATCTCCCCAAAACTCTATGTGGTCAACCGCCACTATGTCCTCTACATCAATTTCCGCACAATTCAAACCAGTTATGTCTTCATATATTCATGAAGCGAAAACCTAATTGGACTACCTTCAATGAGACACCAAATCTCATATGGCCTACTAATTGCCAATTGATGAGTTAACAGGTGATGCACAAGCTTTGCCCACCATACAAAAGAACTGTCAGCAAGGTTCAACAATACTCCCACTTTAGACTGATCACGTATCTGAGAGTAAGCATCTTCCCCAATCTTCTCTTTCAATCTTGCTAAACTATCCAAGGTGCAGTTAATATGCATGCTCCTTCCCTTCATCGGTGCTTTCCCTGCAGCATAAAGTCTTTTGGGGTAGCTCTTCTTCGCAATTACTGCACAAAGTACAACTTCATTATGTCTCTCTTTTATAACTTTACTACATATACTTACAAAGAAACTCTATCCCATATTTCTATCATTAGATTATCAACCCCGCCAAATTCAAATACATAATTTTTTACCTTCTTCTCCCATTTCTTCACTCGCTTGATCAATTAATCAATCCACCTCTTTATCCCATCGGAACATAAATCACAAAACAGAACGATTAGGTTTAAAATTATTCCAACAGCTAACTATTTCAAATCCAAATCCCTCAAAAATTATTCCAACAGCTAACTATCTCAAATCCCTCAACAGCTAACTAAGAAATTCTTACCACATTCGCCGCCGTTAATCGACGCCGTATCTTCGCCGTAACCTCGCCGTCGCCAATTGTACACAGATCCGTCTGTAAAAAATTAACGATTTCTACTATAAAATCATAGCAGTTTGATACTTTTGCTAACATAATAGCAGAACAACTCAAACTCTTTAATTGAAACACAACCGGATATCTTACCGGAATTTCTCCCTCAGGCCCGACCGTTGTTCCCGACACAAAAACCAAACACAAACACTCTTTTCCACTTACTCACTCTTCTTAGTTAATCTCGATTAATGGTTCTTTTTTTAATTCTAAATGGCAAACATGTATATAAAATAGTTAGAGAGGCTTAAAAGACTTTTGCCAACTTTTAAGTGTTATTTGAGTAAGACCCCTGTGGATGTCGGATTCACACACTCAAGTATTTTTATTAAGTAGGAAATATTATTCTTGAGGGACAAAAAATAAGAATGCAAAAGGCTTGTGAATTGTTACAAAAATTGCTATAGTATTTCTTGCTCGAGAGAGAGATCCCCTTTACATGGTCATTGGCCTCTATACTTATACATAGAAAAATGACATTTAAATGGCTAATTAAGTACAATTATTCTCTCTTAAATGTGTCCGTTTTGATTCTTTGACTTTAATGCTCAACGTTTGAATTTGAGTTGACTCTGGTCTTTATGGGCCTCGCCTTTTGGCCCAAGTGTCCTTGGACCGACTTAACCATGACTTCGTCTCCGGACTCGTATCGAGGTGCAATCACTTCGAATTCTCCTTATGGTGGTAACCACTTCGATTGTTCTTTTGACTTGTGGGTCTAGTGGGCTTTATCCTTAATGGGCCATTACCCCGACTACGTGGCAATCTTTGGTTGGTCCTGGACCTCTGGTGCGGGATCCGACACCAACAATTAGCCCCCCAAGTTCTTCGAAGTGCCATTCCAATTCGAAGGACTTTAAATGCTTAAATGACCAAAGATTGCGCTCGAGAATCTTTCTGATTTCCCGCCGAAAATCTCATCACTCCTTTAATTCCGGCACTAGCCATTTTTAACCGAGTGACATCTGTCATCATTATGACCGCATAGTAATTAATTACTATTAAAACAGGAAAAAACCTTCCCACTTCCCACACAACTTCCAAGGCGGTTTCATCATTTAGCTTGTGTAAGGTAACTTCTTTTCACCATCATTTTCTTCTTTTACTTTTGTGCTTTAATCAAAACTTCTCTCTACTTTTCTTCGCCGAACCTCTCTTCGCCGGATCTTGAATTTTTCATTTTTCTCCGATGACTTCCGATTCTAAGAGACCTGAATCTCCGTCTTACGATGAGAGGCGCTCTAGCAATGACGAATGCACTCGTCCTAACGATATTGCCGGTCCTCATTACAAATCCACCTGTACTCTTCAATCTCTTGAGCGATTAAAGGGGCTTTGTCAAATTCCTCCTGGAATCATAGCGGAGGCACAGATAGCCGATCCCACGGAATCCCCGGAGAACCACCGCGACGGCTACTTTTGTGTTTACGAAATCTACTTCAAGGGCTGCGGATTGACCTTCCCCCTTCCCGAAGCCCTAGTTCGATTCTTGGCGGCTCTTGAGATTGCTTTACCTCAACTAACCCCCAATCTCCTCCAAACCATCCTCGGGATTATAACCGTTGCGGCGGAAGCTGGCTACGTCATTGGAGTCCCCGAGCTGAATGAACTCATAAGTGTAAGGAGTTCATCAAAGAAAACAGGGTACTTCTCGGCGTATCCAAATGCCAACAGGAACGTTATTTCGCACCTCCCGAACAAAGATGAAAACTGGCACCATCCTTGGTTCCTGATTAAGAAAACTCCTGCTTCAATTGGAAATCTTTCCGATGTACTCCCATCGAAGTGGTCTGCGAAGCCTGGTAGAAATTAGGTCGTATATTCCTTCCTTGGTTGTTTTTTTTACTGACCAAACTCGTTGTTTTCACTTCGCAGCTGTCATCGCTTCGACTCTTCCGACTGAAGAATTCGTCAAGTTCTTCAAAACAATCCTTGAAGGGGAAACCCTTTGGAACTCTTTCACCCTCGATCGGTTTGTCGAGGCCAACCGAAAACTCAGGATGAGTCCTCCCAATCTACTTCGTCGTCTTCCGCCTCCTCCCTCAACTCAGGGAATGTCAGCTCGGACCCTTACTGCCCAGCGTAAGAAACTCTCCAAGCCGATAGCAGAGGCTTGTGATGAAAACAAGGCGTTCCTTGCGGCCGCCATTGACAAAAAAGACTACAGCAGCACTACAAGAAAACACGCGTTTTGCGATGGAAGGATTCCTTGCTAATCCCTCGCAAAACGACATTCGCAAGGGATTTGCGAGAAACAACAGTTCCTCGCAATTCGTGTCTCGCAAATCGGTTAACGTTGCAATTCCCTCGCAAATTTTGCTAGGAACCTTTTCCCTCACAAAACACGCGCAATTTGCGAGGAATTTTTACGGTAGCAAATGTCTTGCAACTACAATTCTTTTAAACAATAGATTTTTTAATTTAAATTATGTTATATATATGCATACTATATATATATATATATTATTTTTAATTTAATCTATTAAATTTTTTACTATTATATATAAAACTAAAATATCAAACATGATTTTCTTTTTAGATTATTAGTTGTTAATCAAAATATCAAAATTATTTGATTATTAATTTTGATTACAATTAATCAATACAAACTTAATTAGTGAAAAAAATTAGAAAATTAAAAAGCTTCAAAGCTTGCCCTCTGCTGCACCCCTCCGCCGTACTCCTCCACCCCGTTCTCCTTCGCAGCCATTCTCCTCCGCTAACGCTCTCCTCTGTCACCGTTCCGCCGCCGTTCTCCTCCGCTGCCGCTCTCCTCTGTCACCGTCTCTAGCAATATACCCTTAATCCCTAGATTCCAATTGTTTGTAGTCAATATTTACTAGATCGAAATCAGAAACACAAACAGAACCACAAAACTATCTAATATGAAATGGTGGTGGTGTTGATGGTGAACGGCGACCGAACCTTTGAAATGTGTTATGGTGAACGACGGCCGAACCTTCCAGATGTGGTGTGAGCGACGGCCGAACCTTCAAGATGTGGTGGTCGTGAACGGCGAAAGCTTTTAGATCTTGGGAAGAAGGTGAAAGAATTAAGGAGAAGCCATTGGTAGAGTTAATTGATTTGGGTTTGGAAAATGAGAAAGCTTGAAGAAACAAACGAGACCAAGAAGAAGAAGGAGAAAAAGAAGGAGAAAATTTGGTCCCTTGATCTTTTGCTATCAACGGTGGAAAAGTACAATCCTTGTCTCAATATATTAGCCAATCAGAAACTCTCAATATTTTTTCCTCTTCTTAATCATTATTTTATTGAAATAAACTGTAATTTGGATATATAAAAGGGAAATTGTTAAAAATGTCCCTTTTGGTGTGTCCCTTTTCAAAAATGCCCCTTTTAGATGTCTATTTTAAAAAATGCCCCTTTTTAAATCTGAAATTTTTATAAAGTTTTATTAGGTTTATAAGTTACTTATGAATTGTAACTACTACTTGAAGACTCGATCCAAGTATTTATAAGGTTTTATAAGGTGTTTTTAAAGGTTTTACAAGTTATTTTAAAGGATTTTTAAGGTTTTTCAAAGGTTTTACAAGATATTTTAAAGGTTTTTAAAGGTATTTAAAATGTATTTATAAGGTATTTATAAAGTATTTATAAGATTTTAGATACATAGAAATGTAGTTTGTGTATGTTTTAATAATGTTACATACATATTTAGGTAAATCTTATATTTTTAAGAACATTTTTTATAAAGTTTTAAAGAAGGGACATTTTTTAAAAGTGGCATTGAAAAATGGACATTTTCGCAAAAGCCCCTATATAAAAAGTTACAAAAATGCAAAAATATTCTCTCATGAAAAATGAAAGATTTAATTTGAATTTAATTTTTTTTGAAGTGATGGATTATACCTTTTTAGTAGAAAATAAATTCTTAGGGGGGTGTATTGAATTAAAGATTTGAGAGGATTTGGTGGAATTTAGGAAATTTTGGATTTTGAGAAAGTTAAGTGAGTTGAATGGTGGAATTATAAAATATTGGATGATTTGGTGAGATTTTATTTGATGAGATTTGGTGATTTTAAATAGATAATCTTGGATGATTTGGTGAGATTTTTAAAACAAAAAATAGAAAAATTGGATTTACAAAACAAAACACTGCGACATTGGTTTACACAAAAAACATATTCTCTTTGCAACGTTGCTTTACAACAAAATAGAAAAACTGGATTCTCTCTGCAATACGTTTGAAAATATGTTCAACGTCGTCTATAGTATAAAAATAGAGAATTCGTGGTGTGGTTGTGAATTTGAGAAAGTTAATGTCCAACGTCATGGCTTCGTAACGCAAATCGATGGTCAAATCAGGAATTTCTGTAATAGCTTCCCACACATTCTCAGCTTTGTCTTCAGCTTCTTTTTCTTCAGTTTCTTTTTCCCATCTTCTTTGTATCATGCCAAGAATCTGATTACCGAACTCTTGCACTGTGTTCACTTCATCAAAAGCTTTGTTCGAATTAAATGCATCAGTTCTAGCTTTCTTTCGTTGAGGAAGCTTTTCTAACCTGTTTTTCTCAATTGAAGAGAAAACGTCGTGCACAGATTTCTCAGCGTATGGTATTCTGTCCATATCATCCATTATCCCGTCATTCTCTCCAACTTGGTAAGAATCTGCATCAACGGTATCGCCTAAACCCACAGCATTAAGCCCAGTTGCAGTATTAGATCCAAATATCATTCTTAAATCTTCAAAATCTTCAAATGACTCATTACGCATATTTGTTTTGTTTGGATGAGCCTATTTAAGAAAAAACAAATCTATAGTCAGTTTGTATACATAAGCAACACTATTATATTCATCAAGTTTATGTTGTAATTTTTTTACCTTCAAATAGTCATCCCAGACTTCATCTCTAGCGGTGAATTTTTTCGTTTCAGGATCCCACCCAAACCCTGAACTAAAACGAAGAAGTTCCGCCATGCTTTTGTACCTACCCTTCAAGATCTTCATCCTATTTCGGTACTCACTGTAGGTTTTCTTAGCTCCAAGCTGTTTGTTTATAGGTGGTAATATTCTTGTTTCCACCGTTAATTTGTTAAACTTGCCATTAGCATCACGAAAACCATGATTGATTGCGTCTACTAGCAGACGCAATAACATCTTGTGTTGAGGTTCAGACCATTTTTTATATGGACCTTTGGCATCTTGTGTATCTTGTGTATCTTGTGTATCTTGTGTATCTTCCATTGTAGTGTCGGAACTGGCCATACAATATAAAAAAATATGTAAAGCAGACATTCTAATTGTTATAAAGCAAAACAGTTCTACATATGATTTTTGATATATCCCACATTCCCACTAAACAATTTCTAAACCCAAACAATTCTACCATAAACCATATCATTCGAAGAACAAAGATGGTACTTTCTAATTGCAGCTAGCCGTAAACTAACAACATCCAATGTTTCTCACACCACATTAAGAACGCACGTTTCAGTATATATTATTATATGATCAAAGAGGAACATCACCTAAAAGAGCATGAAAGTAATTAAAATAGAAACAAATTAACAAAAGAAAATCAAGAGAATACTCACTTTGACAGAAAAGAGATACAGCTTGAAGTATATCGATAGTAATTGTATAAGCTGCTAAGAAAAAGTTATTGATTGTGAGTATTTATACACCTAACAAGTAACCCTAATAAAGCTAAACGTGAAAGCCCATCATAATATATAAGAGCAGCCCATATCATTTTTACGCATCCACGATTTCACTACTCATATACAAAAATAATATAAGGATCAGATCCATAGATGATACAAAAGAGTGACTTTTGTGTTTACCACCGGATAAAGGAAAGGAAGTAGTGTAGAATTTACTGCCGGAAAAATCAAGGATGATCAGATTAGAAGATCCTGGTGAAGCAATGAACTGTGTAAGAAATTAGACCAGCCTTATGGCCGTCGACCACCGTAAATCATGAGGAAAATTGAAATCCATAATTTTGGGTTGGGAAATTCAACTGAATTAACAAATTTGAAAACTTACCCAGATTGAAAATGATGAACAAAAAGAGAGACACGAACGAAAATCTCCAAGCGATGTCACAACCGAGAAGGAAGAGAAAATGACTGTCTTGTTTTTGACGATGAGAATGAGGACAATTTCTCTTTTCTTTTTTTTTTTAATTTTGTTTAAAGAAAATTCTTCAAAAATAACACCTCCGAAGGTGTTATTTTTTCAATTGGATTTTTTATGTAAAATTGTATCCAAAGTCTCCCAAAATCAATGTCATGATTTTTTTATTAAAAAAAAGTTGTGTTTTGAATAACAGTTGATTTAAAATCAACTTTAGGAATTATTATTTGAATAACAGTTGATTTGATATCAACTTTAGAAATTGTTGTTTGAATAACATTGGATTTGAGAAGAGATTTGAAAATCCCAAATTCAATAACAGGTGATTTTACTAAAATCCCAAAAAAAATTAAAATCCTACTTCCAATACACCCCCCTTAGATTAGATTTTTGGTGTTTTATGTTAAAAAAATTACTAGATTTAATACTTTTAAGGGTTAATTAAATTTTTTAAAATATCTTGATGAATTTGCAAAGTCATTAATTTGCTGATATATTTCATCACTTATTATCAACTTTGGTTTTATAGTTTGTGAGTTTAATTTTGATTTTTTTGAAAACTTTCATTTTTCTAAGTATTGGATTTTAGTTTTGAAAAAAAATAAAATAACATATATATAAAATTAATTAAGTTGTTTGTGAAGAGTTATATTTGGTTAATATATAGTTGTTGACAAATATATTGTAGTGTAGGGTTTGGGGTTAAGGTTTGAGGTATAGGGTTTGGAGTTAAGGTTTAAGATTTGGGGTTAGGGTTTGAAAAAATATTGGACCTGAAAAACTATAATGTTTTTATAAGTGTTGGATCTTAGATTTTGGGTATATTATTGTAACTAGATTTTGTTTTTAGAGTTTATGGTTTTAGGATTTGTGTTTAAAATATTTTGGAAGGCAACTTTAAAATTGTTTCTAATTTTTTTAGGAATTTTGCGAGGGAATTGCAAGAGGCCGTAGCAAATCCCTCGTAAATGGTTTAGGGTATAAGGTTTAGTGATGCATTATTGAGAATTGTGCGAAAGATTTGAGAGTAATGAGATAGATTTTTAAATCAAATCATCCCTCGCAAAGTCTTCATTAGGATTTTTAAAAAACACAATGACATGCTTAAATATTATTAAGCATGTCTTATTCATTTTCATTTTCCTATTTCTAGTAAGTCCCTCAGCAAAAAAAAACATGACTAAATATCTTAAATAAATTAGGATTTAGGGTAAAGATTTGCGAGGGAAGTGCTACGAAAGCCATGCAATTCCCTCGCAAACTCTTGATTTAGGGTTTAGTTTTGCTAGGGAATTACTAGTATCCTTCGCAAAACCCTCGCAAAATAGAATCAATTTGAAAAAAATAACAAAACACTACTAAAAATCATTCGGATTCATTTTTTTGAATCATTAGGAAGTTAATTATCTACATTAGAATCTACTTTCTCATCATATACTTCGAATTCGTCCGAATGTGCATTTTTCTCAAATACGTCAATGATGATCTTATGTTTTTATATAATATGAATCAATGTTTATAACATTTTCAAAATAAAATGTTAATATTGAAACCTATACAACATTTTTTTATGCATCACCATATATTCAACTTGTCTGATTATATGGTCTCCTAGAATCACATTTATAAATAAAAATCAAAGATCGCAAAACACTTTTATGTATTTTAGGGTTTAGGGTAAAGATTTGCGAGGTATGTGCGGGAGAATTGCGACAGAATATATTGTTCCTCGCAAAGTACTCGTAAGTCCCTCGCAATTTTGCGAGGAAACTTTCCCTCGCAAATTTTGCGACAGAAGTGCGACGCGCGTCATTTTCGTAGCAAATTACTTGCAATTCCCTCGCAAATTTGCGAGGGATGGTTTCCCTCGCAAAGTTGCCTCGCAAAACGACTGTTTTCTTATAGTGCAGGACCCTGCTGGTTGATGATAACAGCGCCGAGGGAGCCAGATCCGTTGCTGCTTATAGGTTAACACCTCGTCGCGAACGTCGTGACGAACGTTCTCCTCGGAGAGAGCGATCTCCTCGTCCTACCCGAGACGATTTTAGCAATGAACCACTTAAGAACTTGGTTCGCAGGAAGAGGGACAAGTCATCCCGTAGTGACTCTTCTCCGCGAAGGGAGAAATCAAGGGCCCGGACTGACCGTTCACCTCGATCATCCCCTCCCACTGAACCAATGGGTCCTCCCCGACCTGTTGTATGTCTTCATCTTCCCAGCCCGACAGCGAAAAGACTGCTCGGAGTGCATCTCCTAAAAAGGGAGATTCTGAATCTCGAGATGCTTCCTCGAGGTTAAAGCCTGCTCTTGTCCCTCAAGTCAAATCGCTTTCAGGTTTGGTGATTTACACATACTTAAACGTTTTTGTTTCTATTAAGATTCCAATTTTTACAACTCCTCCTCCTTCGCAGCTATGGAGAAAGAGGGCAGCGTCTTCCGATGCTTCAAGACCCGATCGGGTTCGATTTTGCCAGACTTCGACAAGTGGCGCCCTGCGATTCGTGAACGCTATCTGCTTCATGCTCATCATTCATCTCGGGTTAGTTCCGCTTTGTTTTTCCGATTGTGCTGCCGTTCATCAAAATGTCTCACCATCTCGATTTCATGCATAATGGCAGGCTAACGGTGAGCTTAATGACATGATTGAACATTATGAGGGGCTGGTCCTTGGTCGGGAAAAGGAGATTGACGCGTGGAAGAAAAAACTTTCTGCTCTTGAGGCTGAACTAAGCTCTTCTACCGGCTCCAAGCACGATCTGGAGGACAAGGTCGATAGTCTGACATCCGAGCTGGCGAAGATTAAGGGGGAGCTGTAGGACCAGTATGACCAAAATTTCAAACTCCAGGATGAGCTTTCTGGTGTTCAGGGTAGGCTTCACGAATCCGAATCAACCGCTGATACCCTGAATAACCAACTTATTGAGCATAACGCGAAGTACAAGGCGATTGCCAAATTGCGTGATTCCGAGTTGGCAAGGTCGGCATCGAAAGCCAGAAAGGAAGTTAAGGGACGCGGGATGGAGTTGATCCAAGGGGCCGTCCGCTTCATGCAGATCGAGAAAGCTAGGTTAGATTTGGAATCAGACATCAAGGAGCATGAGAGCAACCTGATTCTGTTGGATCAAATCCATGAAACAGATTTCTCCGAGGAGCAAGAAAGGACCGAACTGTCGGCTAATCTTTCTGAAAAGCGGAGTCGCTTGGCAGCTCTTCCCACTTCGACCTTCAACCCGCAGGACTTAGAGGAATTCTTTACTGAATCGCCTCCTATAAGTGAATCGGGTCTAGACTGGGCAGGTAACACTTGGCTCCTGATTCTTACTACCTTATGTTTTTTTTTTTAAAAAAAAGAAAATTGACTGGAACTGCCCTTCCCAGGCTCAAGTGAGACGGAAGATGTCGTCCCACCTGAAGTCCCTGTGGCAGCGGAGGTCACCCCGGAGGATGGTGGTACTGTGGAGGGCGGACCAGGAGCCCCATCTGACCAAGCGCCAGTCAAAGAGGCGGATGAAACTTCGACTGCCGAGCCGGAGTCCGAGGTGGCTGTTACTTCGTAGTGGCTGCGTCCACTTTAAATTGGGAATTGTCCCATTTATTTTTAAAACTTAATTTCGAACTTATTTTTGCCTAAGGAGGCTTTATTATTTCTTTTGAACAAGATACTTGCCTGATGAGGCTTTTAAACCTTTCTAGGTTTTGACCCCAAGGGGGTTTGGTTAAAATTATATGCGGGTTTGCAAAGTCCACTTTTAACCCTTTGTGGCCTTGTGGTTATGCTTTCGAGACTTTTAGGCTGATCAGACCTTTCTCTTTAGAATGCGAGAACTGAGCTCGGCTTAAAGCGAGTTCCCCACTTCGGGTTTAGTCAACTCGATAAATTTATTGGGCTTGGGCCTTAGAAACTTTTGTAGTTAATGCGACGGTTGCTCTTTCCCTTCTTATTTCTTAAAAGTAGGAAAACGGCTCGTCTTTAATGCAATAACTGCCTTTTCTCGATTTTCCAAAAATGGTTTAAACCACTCGGGCACACTATCATTATTGGATTTATGGTCCCAAGACAAACCTTAAACCATTATAAATAAAGGCTTACCTACCTCTAAGCTTTCTTTAAATACGATTTTAGAATCTTACTTGAGAAATATTACGAGAATGGAAAACGAAAAAGTAGCCCCCATTGATCCCGGCAGCCCACTCTTCTTGTCCGGCGACGGCTTTAAACCGGCCGGCGTTCTTTTCCCTCACGCCGTCTTTAACTTTCATTCAAAGGAGAAGAAAGAGGTTTGCGACTTTATTGACAAGGTTAATATCTGTCGTCTTTGATTAAAAGCTTTTTGTTTCATCTTATTCATTCATCTTTATGCTAGGTTGCCGACAAACACCGTCGCTTGTGTGAAGAGAGGCAGCGGCTAGGCCTCAAAAGGCAAACACTCGAGGCTCGCATTGCTCGGGTGGAGAGGAAGATACGGGCTTTGGAAAGTGACCCCTTTCAATGGGAATGGCAGAACTTCGATTCTGTTGCTGAGATCCCGAAGATGCTTCAGATGTATCTCCGTGCTAGAGGAGTTCCGGGTCCTGTGAATGCTCCGGTCCATACCGTTCCATCTGGTAGCGAGGAAGAAGACAAAGAGGAGGCCAGCACCAGTCGGAAACGCGTTCGGGATTGTTCCGAGGTGGACGCCAAGAACAAGGCGTCCACTTCGAAAACTAAAACGGCGATGAAGGAGCCTGTTCCTGAGCCTCTTCCATAAATTTTCTCTAACCTTTCCACTCACTTTGAACTCATAATGGGCTTCGGCCCTTTTTTATTTATGGAAACATTTGCAACTTTCCTTTCTCTTCAAATATTCTCGGAGATACGTCTTTTAATGCAGGATTGGTTTAAGGGCATAAATCTCGCCGCGAATCACTCCATTTCCGGGCTGAATCTGCTGCTTGCTAGGGATATGAAGTCACTATAAATTACAGCTTCAACTTCCCTTTACTTCTCACTATTCTTCTTACTTCT